AGAGAGAAATATCTATCCTGATAGATAACGATAGCACACATAGATTTATAAATGAAGGATTGGCCAGAGAGTAAGCAAACTCTGAATACTAGATATGACCTCAAAATAACAGGGGTCAAGGTTGGCTAGTGAGAACTTGGTCATTGATGGAAATAAAACATTGACAATCAGGGTGGCAAACGGTGAGAAATTAGAGAGGTAGGCCCTTTACTCGCCCCTGACTTGGAAGATGCAAAACTGGGAATTCCAATACCATCTAAGAATATTGAAACTGTGTTGTAGTGACATTGTATTTAGGGCTGGGCAAATATCTTGAATCGAACCGACCGAACCGAACCCGACGATTCTTGTCAAATTAAATACCCGAACGGGTATCTGAATTGAAAATCGACGGGTAAGATTCGATTCTCGGTTCTAGACCAAGAACCGAAGAATCGAATAAAAACCGAATCTTTCTAATTTTTTTTATATTGAATAAATCAAATTATTTTAATTTCAAATTTTTCTAAACAAATTAACACATTAACAATTTCTAAACCCAAATTTTTGGCCCAATAATTTGTTTCTTTTCTAATTTTTTAATTTTTGACCCAATTGCCCATTTTATTGTTTCATTTCTTAGTCAAGTAAGATCAAATCCACTAAATAACCCTAAACACCAACACTAAAGTACATAGCATTGTCTCGACTCTCGCACTCACTCTGCAGCCTCGCTAATATTCCAAAACCTATACAATCATCGGTTGACACTGTGACCTCCGATCGAAGCTGTGACCTTCGCCAACTGAAGTTTTGATCGTAACGATCATTTAAACAAGGTAGTTTACTAATCTCTGACGTTCCAAAACCATTAAATGTATCATTAGTTGTATTTATATAATGTTGTTATAAATAATTTAATTATAGTACAGAATCGAACGGAACTGAACCGAACGAAACGAAACGAAACCCGAACGGTTCCATAATTATATTTGGATCCGACGATTCCATTTACTAGATACCCGAAAAGTTTGGTTCGGTTCTAAGGAGAACCAAACCGACTCGCGCCCACCCCTAATTGTATTGGGAGTAAAATGGATGAGTCAATTTTGCCCAATCATGTTCGACTTTGCTCAAGGGTATATTAAGTTCAGACATGAAGGTGCAGAAGCAACCTTGAGGAGTAAGGACACTATACAAGATGTGAAGATAATTGGAGCAAAGGAGATGAAGAATCTATTTAGAAAGAGTAGTTGTGGTATTTCTGGGCGATTTTACACATTACAGAGGGAAAGAAGAAGGAAATTCGAAAACTGATCGTAGAAATTATCAACTCATTCCCAGGTGTATTAAAAGATCCCATGGTTGCCTCTCCGTAGGACCCATCACCACAAGATTCCACTAAAAGAGGAATCTCAACTTTTAAAATCAGGCCATAACAATGTCCCTTTGTTTAGACAATCGAAATTGAGAAAACTAGTTAAAGAAATGTTGGATAGTGGGATAATTCATCCCAGTAACAGCCCATTTGCATCTCCTGTTCTATTAGTAAAAAAGAAGGATAGGTCCTGGCGTTTTTGTGTAGATTACAGACACTTAAACAGCTTAACTATCAAGGACAAGTTCTCTATGCCACTGATTGATGAACTTCATGGGTCTAAGTATTGTTCTAAAATAGATCTCAAGGCTGGCTATCACCAAATTAGAGTTACTCAAACAGGCATTCACAAGACAGCTTTCCAAACACACCAAGGCCTTTACGAGTTCAAAATGATGACATTTGGGCTCATGAATGCCCCTGCTACATCCCAAAGCTTCATGAATTATTTAAAGAGTAATTGAGAGATTATGTCTTAGTCTTCTTTGATGATATATTGGTTTACAACCATGACTTGACTACCTACTGTTAGCACCTAAAAACTGTCCTGGAGATTTTGCAGAAACACCAGCTATATGCTAAATGGTCTAACTATAGTTTTTTACAGGAGCAAAAGGAATACTTAGGTCATATAATCAATCAAAGTGGTGTCTCAACTTATCCCAACCAAATCGAATCATCGCAGTAATGGCCTACGCCTAAGAAAATCAAACAATTAAGGGATTTTTTTAGGCCTTACAGAGAACTATAGAAAATTTGTGAAGAATTATGGGATAATAGCTAAACCTTTAACTGGCCTCCATAAGAAGGATAGCTTCATTTGGTCAAAGGCAGCAGATTCAACATTTGTGTTATTGAAAGAGGCTACGAGTTCCACCCTAGTCCTAGCACTCCCTGATTTCAGCAAGTCATTCATCATTGAAACAGATGCATGCCAAAGGAGCACAGGTACAATACTCATGCAGGATAGGAGACCTCTATCATACTTACGAAAAGTCATGGGGATAAAAAATATGGGGTTATCCATATATAAGAAGGAGTTGTTGGTATTGGTAACAACAGCAAACAAATGGAGGCAATATTTGGAGAGCCACCACTTCATTGTAAAGATTGACCATTAGTCTCTCAAGTACCTACTTGAGCAAAGAATCACTACCCCGCTCCAACAAAAGTGGCTCAACAAACTGCTAGGCCCCAGTTATGAGATAGTGTATAAGAAAGGGACAGATAACCTAGTGGCAGACGCACTATCCAGGAGACATAAAGAGAGTTTAGAATGGCAAATATAATTCCTGCTTTGATCCAAGAGGTAATCAATAACTATAAGGGAGAGATAAGGATGATGAAGAGAGGATTCAATCCGTGATACTGCAGTCAGATAATGACCATAATTTTTCCTATTGCAATGGTCTACTGTAGGTACAAAGGTAAGATTTATATCAGGACAGGTGGTGATATCAGAACAAAACTGATTCAGATTCTCCATAATTCACAAGAAGGAAGTCATTTAAGAATGCAAAATAGCATCTATAAAGCAAAACAACAATTTTATTGGCCAGGAATGAACCAGGATATCAAGATAGAGGCATTACAATGTGAAGTTTGTCAGAGGTACAAAGGGGAACATACACCCTATCTTGGACTATTGTAGCCCTTACCCGAGCATCTTCACTCATGGAGTCATATTAGCATGGATTGCATCAAGAGGTAAAAATGTCATTTTTGTAGTGGTGGATAGGTTCACAAAATATGGGCATTTTTTGGCTCTCTCACATCTTTTCGGCTTTCACTGTCGTGTCAGTGGCAAAGATATTTATGGATAATGTGTACAATTTACATGGGATGCCTCAAAGCATCTTCTTTGATAGAGATAAGGTCTTTACTAGCTGGTTCTGGCAAAAAGTATTCACCATGTTAGGCACTAAACTTCAGCTCAGCTCTACATACCATCCTCAAAGGCTCAAACGGATGGGCAACCAGAGTTTGGAGATGTATTTGAGGTGTCTAACTTTTCAACAGCCTAAATTATGGGGTAAGTGGCTAACTCTGGCTGAATGGTGGAACGACGCCACTTACCACTCTCCAGTTAGAATGACCCCATTTGAGAAAGAAGAAGAAATGAATAGCAGTAATTGAAATTCAAATACAAAACGACAGTGTTTGGTGGAAGAGAAAATTGCACCGTTTTACTTTGATTAAATAAATTGTAATTTTTGGCTTCAAAAACGCGACTTTACTTGTATTGGAGATAGATAGATACGAGCATGTGCGAGATGGAGGTCAGTTGTCAATTTCTGAATTTTTAGTTGCTAGTTGAAAGGATACTCGGTTCTCACCTCCCATCCTTCTTATTTACATCATTTTCACCCTGCCCAAATCTTTTTTACTTTAATTTTGGTTACAAATTCTGTTGATTCAGCTGTGTAGAGTTCCATAGTTGAGTTGTGAAGCTGGAGGTTGTGGACTGAGGTTCATTCCATGACACACACCTCCTCTGCCAAATCTTCCACCTTTCGCCAGTAGGCATCCAACACCACGCCCTTATACCTCAAATCAACAGCCCAGTCGACCAATTACACATTACCATTTTCGTAGCGCCTCTTCACGCACAAAGTCCCCCACTTGCCGACTTAAAACCAAGATCAACAACCAATTGTAACATCCAACATTGATTCGCACCATAAAAAAAAAAATCCAAAAATTTTGCTAAGTAGCAAATCAGGGAAGAAACTTAGAAAACAGCAAATCCCTCGTCGTTGTGCACAGTGCATGCTCTGTTGATGACGCTCTTCCCCTTGCATATGCACGACGTGAACGACGCTTCGCAGCAGCATTGGCCACTGCTGCAAAGCGTCGCTCACAACGCTGCTCGCCGCTATGAAGAGCGTTTCATAGTGGCGAGCACCGCTCTCTTGTGCGCAGCACTTCGTCGGAGAAAGTAATGCCGCTTGGTGGTGGGGGGTTTTGTCAGCTGACGGGAAAGAGGGGATAGGATATAAAGAAATGGTTTAGGGTTTGGGGACGAAGTGTGGATACGATAGATAGAAAAATAATTCTTGGTGTAGCACAACCCTATTAATATTAAAGAATAGAATTATTAAATAATTAATTATAACATGAGGTTTGAATAAAAAAATTTGTAAATTTTATTTTTGAATTGCGAAGTTGAAATGCTTGGATGGATGTAATTTTCATGACTAAATCTCCTTGTATATCTAGCCTTTACTAAAAAAGAGGGTTAAACCACAATTTTGAGAGCCCACCCCACCCCACGCCACCCCACCCTACGCTTAAAACTTTGTGAGCAAAGTAAATTGCAGGATGTGTCCCAATAGGTCAGAAAATAAGAGCGACCTTTACACTGTGCCTATAAGAACTTTAGTTTCATGTTTCAAGAATCGAACCCTCACACTGTAGTTGCCAATAAGGCGTGAGATAATCTCACACCTATTTTTTGCACCACTGAAATATACTCCGAAGAACATATCTAGCCTTATACTTCTATCATGTGAGGGGGTGTACACTTAGCGCTAAGTAGGGCTGAATTCCCATTCTTGGTCTAGCCTGTCTGTTTCGCTCTGTATAGAATTTGTGGGCTTGAAACCCACTTCACAACCCATCTTTTTGCTGCAACAGTATTTTGAGCCTTATCATCACCTTCCAAATGGATAGAAATATATAGGCTATCATCACAAAATTTTCACTCTCTAGTCCTCAACAATGACTCTTGCTCCCTCCGCTGCCAAAATCCTCTCAGTTCACTCCCATGAATTCGACCACCCCGCCACTACCACGCCTTCATCTCTCTCCTTCAATCCAACCACTGCAAGAAAGCCAATTTTCTTTACTTCCGCTAAAACTATCTATGTTTACCCTCCTGTGCTACAGTGTAGCAAGGCGTCTGATAATGGGCGCTTCCTGAAATCACTTGTGGTGGCGGCTTTGGCTACTGAAGCTGAGGTGGCGGAGGAGGTCGTGGAACAGCAGGAAACTGATGGTGGAAGTGTTGCTGTTGCTACAAAGCCCAAGAAAGGCAAGGCTGCATTGCCTTTGAAGAGGGATAGAGTATGTTTTGTAAAGATTTTTTTTTTTTTAAATTATGTAAATTTTCTGGAAGATTATTTATGGGTTTTACTTAACTTTCCTATTCTTGTATCTGCTTTAAAAAAAATTATTTTCTATAATTAGTGTGTGCCCAGTGATTTATATGAATAAGTTCTGCTAACCCTTTTTTCCCTTTTGTGGCTTTTTCCTGAAGCTGAATGTTAATTACCTCCGTTATATGCATCTAATGACCATATGGACATCAGGACATGAGGGGGTTCCCCTGATTCTGTTTCTCGCTCTTGTTCCAAAATTTTACTGTCAAGAGAAATATTTCTATAGTTTTGGTTGCATTGAGTGGTTATACGACTGGGGATTTGTCAATTTTGTGTATAATTTCTTTTGTTTGCCAAATATCTTAGAAAACAGTATTACATGTCTCTACTTTTAATCGTCATTCTCTCCCTCCCAAAAGGAAAAAAGGGATAAACCCACTCCCAACTCATAAACAGACACAAAATATAAATATATTTGCTTGATTTCATTTTAGTTTCTTGGATCTGAAAGGTTTAGAAACTTTAGATTGGGCTACTGCATTCAACAACAGAATAAACTAACTATAATATTCCAGTTGCTTTTTGCTTCGGTTCTCTTCAGTAGCCTAATATCATATACATGTTTCTTGATTTTACGCTTACATTTATGTGGTAGAGTTGGCTCATGTAGACCTCTCTGCTTGCTATATATCAACCAAAATGATAGTTTTCTCATTAGAAAAATTTATATAATCTTTCTTTTGCTTATGATCTTGAAATTGAACCTTTTGAAAAAAAAAAAAAAAA